GTCACACATATAATACACCAAATCTTCAACGCAACAAAAGACTTAAGCAACAAACTCAACAACTCACAACAGCTCAAATATTATCAAATTTTCAGAATAGGTTTATGTATTTATTGTCAATAAAATAATATTTGAAATAAATTTTCATTCACAAAAACAAAAGAGAAATACACAAATACAACGAAAACTAAAATAAACTCAATACATAAGTACAGTTTTGCTCGTAAAAAGTAAATGACCTAAAATTACATTATTTAATATTTGGTCCAAAGACCTTTGTGTTTAATTACATTTTTTAGACGTCGTCATACTTTCAACTAAATTTTCTATTATTTCCTTCGGTATGCTCTTCATTCGATTTGTACTCTGCTCCATAGCTCCTCCATATTGCTCGGCGCTGTTCGGTATTTGCACAATCTCCTCTTTACAATAGCCCACAAATTTTAAAATGGGTTAAGGTCGTTACTTTGTGCTAGCCATTGGATGAGTTGAAATCGTTGACATTGGAACCAGTGAGTAACAATTTTGGCGGTGTGTTTCGGATCGTTATCTTGTTGAAAAACGATCTCTTCCTCTGGATAAGCATACTTGTCTATAAAATCCGATAAATTTGACTGTAAAATATTCAAATATGTAGTCTTCTTTTTTCATAATTCCAGCGATTTTGACTAACGGACCAATGTTCCACCAAGTGAAGCATCCCCATACCATGGGCTGCCGCCACCATATTTTACAGTTTGTCGCACATGATGTCGTTGAAGGTTTTCATGTGGGCGACGCCAGTAGTACTGTTTGCCATCCGATTGGAAACGATTGATTTTCGATTCATCCGACCAGATAGCCTTTTTCCAGTCTTCCACGGACCAGTTTTTATGTTCCTTACAAAACTTTAGGCGCGTCTTAATATTTTTATTAGATAAAGCAGGTTTCTCTGTTTAACGGCGGCCACAAAACCAATCCTTTGAAGAGCTCTCAGAGCGGTCCATTCGCTGACAGTCTTATTATGGCGATTTCAGCCTCCTTTGGTGTTCTATTATGCGCTGTAGTGAGTCTTCTGACTATTTGCCTAGCATCAGCGTTTGTTAACAATCGTGGGCGTCCTCCCATGTTCGGGGAACCAACTACTTTGCATCGTTTTCTCATAGCCACAACACTGCTCAAAGCTAATTTTAACTGCCTAGCAATTTTACGGATGGAAATGCCACTTTTTGTCAAAGAAACAACCTTTGTTCAATGTCGGATGAAACTTTTCGCATTTTGTATGAAAACACTGATTGCCTAATAACGTATGTTTATGCAACTGATAATCAACTAAAACTGAAAGCTAACCCACGCTAAGTAGTTGCTCGTTCAAAAATATGAATTCGGCGCAAGTAACTGTTCATTTACAGTTATGTTTTACGGCATCAAATCAAATTTAAATCATATTAATTTCATATTTAGTAAAAAGTGGCGAACATCCGAACGGTTTTGCTTGCCACTGTATATTAACATAGTGTAAATTAGCAAGACATCAAGGCGGAAATACCGCAAGGATATGTTAGTACATAAAATTTCCGATTCATCTAAACGCATTTAAATTCCGGCCAAAGTTTTTTCCTTGATATTCTGGTATTTGCACCATTTTGTTTATATAATATTTTTAATACCGGTTTTCTTTATAAATAGAATTAGCTACAATTAATTACTATTAGCTAACTTGAACGCGCAGCAAGAACCCTACAAGAACAGCGACATCCATCTGACCCGTCATATGACAGTCACAGCTGAAAAAATTTTGTCAGCGCGCAGAACAAAGTTTCTATCATTTTCTTAAGAGCCTTGTGCAAAAACTGATGTAAACAAACGTATGTGTGTGAGTTTGTATCTCTCTTTAACAAAATGTGTATTCGGAATTGATTCCCTCTATATCTATACTGGTCACTCTCATGCCTTTTTCTGAGTCATTGCTGACCATAAATCCATCAAAGCTGAAAATTGTCAGTTATGACTGAAACGCTATCATAGCTGCAATTTGTCAGTTATGACGGTAAATCTATCACAAGTGAAAAATTCTTTTGCGCAGTAGATAATATAATTTTTATTTCTTTAATAAATTTTAAACTTTTAATCAAAATTTGTTATAATAATATACTTACATATATATAAAAAGGATTGCAACAAAAAATATAATTATATAATAAATTATGAAAAGAAATTTTCACTTAATTCCTAGCTTGCTCCTCTCAAAAGCTCTGTTGTATGTGTTTCTCCAGAATATTTCGAAATATTTAAAAATGCCTAACTAAAAATGAAAATTAACTAAAAATATAATTTTATTTGGAACTTAATAATAACTTACGTATATTACAAGTATATTTGAAAACTCATTTGTTATTTATTTAGTTTGTTAATACAATAAGAGTTATTGCACAAGAGCACGCAACACTTTTGGTTTATCGTACAGAATAACAGCTACATAGGTATTTCACAACTTCTCGAAACTTCTATGGAAATGTATATTGTCTCTTTTGGAAAAATCGTAAACATTGACAGTCATTTTACTGTTCATATGATTGTCAGTACTGACGTTATAACTGTGAGTGTATTGGTGAACCCATCAACAATTAGGTGTAGGGGAGTAGCTGCGATAATGTATACCATAAACATCCCTACAAGAAACTGCTGATAAGTTCACCAATACACTCACATTTGTTATGTCAGTACTGACGGTTCACCACGTTTGGCCGATTCCGCCCATCTGCAACACCAACCTCCCTTGGGTGCCAAGGGATATGTGTATCAAGTTTCATTACAATATCTTAGTTTTCACTCAAGTTATCGCTTGCATGCACGGGCGGACAGACAGTCACTCGGAATTCAACTCGTCTCGTCATCCTAATCATTTATGTATGTATAACTCCATATCTATCTCGATTTGTTTTAGGTGATACAAACAACCGTTAAACAAAATTAACAAAACTATTATAGTCTGTATCAACATGTTGCAAGAGTATAAAAATGTTGCGAAAGAAATCAACTTTCATTGTTGGCCAAAATTGTAAATGAATAACAATAAAATTTGGTATTCTATTAACTTATATTATAGGTAATAGACTAAACTAGTTTTATAACTATATTTTAACCGAAGATTATATTAAAATCATCCTCAAATTAGAAAAAAGTGTTATAAATTCAACAGAAGAAGCAAAATTTAATATGAGTTGAAGTGTATTATATTAGCGATATGAGGTTTAAACCATAGTCGAGACCAAGGTATAAAATTCTTATATTTGGTATATGGGAGCTAGGGGTTGTAATGACCCATTTTTGGTACTACGGCATATCATTAGCAGAAAAAAAATAAACTCTGAGTTTCATTAATATACTTCCACATATTGACCAATATACCTAAAAGGAGTAAAGTCAAATCAAGATATATAAGTTAGTTTTATGAAGTCTAGTGCAAGTTTTAACCCGATTTCATCCATTTTAGGCACAAATATACACCTATATTAAGAAAACACGGTATTTCAATTTTATTTAGATAACTCTCATATTGACCGATGTTCGAAAGTCTTTACATTAGTTATATAGCTAAGGGAAGTACTGACCCGATTCAACCCATTTTTGACATGTACGCATACTATTATCAGAGAAGGATTCTCTCTGAATTTCTATTGTATATCTTAAAGATTGACCGATATTTTCGATGAAAAGTTCACAATAGGAACTGGGGTCCACATATTCGATATCTGAGGGCTTAAATAGTTTTGGTCCGATTTGAACAGTTTTTGGTAAAAAGGTGGCACACTTCAAAGGCACTATTCGTGCAAAGCTCTATCTCGATATATTGATTGGTGCTTGATTTGTATGCTGAAATTTTAAAGAATCAGATAGAATATAAATTTGTGTTATATGATAAGTAGGCGTGGTCGTAATCCAATTTCGTACTGTAACCTAGGCATGTCAGGATAATGTTACTAATGAATAAATTTGGTTGGAATTGGTCTATTAGTTCCTGAAATATAGGTTTTCAGCTAAAGGTGGGCGTTGCCATGCCCTTTGTTCAATTTTTAGAGTGGCTCTAAATTGGCATTAAATTTTTCAACCAAGATGGTATGTGTTTTATAGGAGCAAGTATACAAATTGAACAATGGTTTGGTTCGTAAAGTTACCCAAACAATCCTATTATACTTTACGAAAATGGGTAAATCCGATTACAACACGCCTACTTCTCATATAACAATATTAAATTCACTCAGACACATATCGGTCAATCTGTGAGGTCTGGTATTCGAATTTATGGAGTCTTGTTGTAGTGACAACACGCCGTGTGCCAAGAAATATTTATGAAATACAGAGAGAATCTCGTTTTAATAACAATGTATCCTCTTGCCTTAAATAGAAGAAATCAGCGCAATACATTTACCTTATATATCAATCTGTGAGGTTTCTTAGTGAAATTTAGAGAGCCTCTATTTCTGGTAATGATATAAGGAAGATTAACACTAAAACTGGATAAAATCGGGTCATGATCTATCCCCCATATACCTCAAATGCAAATTGTTAAGAATTTCAACCTTCCGATTGGCTTTATACCGCATTGACCCGTTTATTTCAATATGATATTTTAGCAAAATAAAGTGCATATATAATATAAGATATACAATACTATAGTTTAATGCTTCCATATACAAGTACTACATATAAAGATTTTTATTAGTCCAGAGCTAAACTGGGATTTTCCATCCTTTGGTTGATATGTTCCTCATGTTCCCGCCTTTGGTTCTTTTGTGTTGCAAGAGTATTAAATATTCGGTTACCCTCAAACTTGGCCCTTACTTATTTGTTTAATATAAAATTTTGCATCACCTGAAAGTATTTCGACGAAGACGATCTTTTCAAAATTCGAGACTATAAAATGTTCGGTTACTCTTTTACTTGTTCGATTTTAAATTCTTACAAATAAAGCAAGCCCGCTACTTATGTTTTTTTTTTTTTGTAAATATTACTTTTCATTTTTTCGTTTTTCGGATGTCAAATTTTTTATTGCTTTACATGTTTTTTATTCTCTATTCCCTAAAATGTCTTAATCTAGATTAACAGTTAATATTTACAATCTAAGAGTAAAATGCTTATTTAGCAGTCGATATCATATTTGAAACGGGAGCATAGCTCTGTGGTAAATGCTATTTTGTTTACAAAAGCCAATTCCAGCTAATGTGAACCCCATTAAATTAGCTGTAAATGGCTTAACTTGCATACGAGCTTTTGATAGATTTGTCAATTCGATCTAAAGAAAATTAAACTCTGACGATTAACGTATGATTTCACCAATAGTTGAAACGTGCAAAGGAAGTGGAGTTTTAATAAGGTTATTGGCAGATATTGAACATGCCAAATACACATGTAATGGTTTTCGTTAAATAACTTTTTACATTGCTTTGTTGTAACTTCTTTTTATATTTGTTTGCTTTCATTCTTGAACGTAGCTATTGACTGCTTAAAATAAAGTTAGTTACTACAAACGTATATAGGTAAATAATTGCGGCAATTTTATCGCTGTCAGCTATCTGAGGCAGTGCAGTTGAATTTTGACGGCCATGGAAAATACGATTCTGCTGAAGGACAAAAGTCGTGACTGCAAATGGTTTTAAGGGTCTTCTGGGACAATTTTTACAGTCATTTTCTTTAAGCCGCGGAAAATCGTTATATCCAGCGACTTTGTCTTTAAAGCTAAAGCCTCATAAACATCTGATGAATTTTTAATTTCCTTATCATTAATTTTTGTAACTATATCACCCGGATAAAGACCACCACTGAAAAGATTAAAACGTTGTGCATGTAAGCATTTAAATTGACAATTACTCACGTATGTGCCGGCGATCCAATAATTACTTTCCACACCAGAACACCATGGCTTAAGTCACTCGGCACATTCTGTGTGCGATTCTTTAATTCAAAAAGTATATCAGGTGTTAGCGTAAGCATTGTTATTCCCATATAACGTTTAGCGGGATAATCCATTTTGCTGACACCCTGCCTCCTACGTTCTTCAGCTCGATTTAGAAAAAGTTTGACATAGTCAATTGGTATGGCAAAACTAATACCCGCAGTTACTTTCATTGAATTTACACCTATAGCTTCGCCATCTAGGTTTACTAGTGGCCCGCCTGAATTTCCGAAAGTTATGGCTGCATCGGTTTGTATATAATTAATATCACGATTTTTCAGTCCAAGTTCTTGCGACGGCCTTTGCGTTGAACTAACAACGCCGGCTGTTACTGTATTGCTCAAAGCTAAAGGGCTACCAAGTGCCACAACCCATTCCCCTGAGCGCAATGTCGAACTTTGCCCGAGAGACATGACTGGTAAATCTTTGCACTGAATACGTACCGTAGCCAAATCAGAAGTTTGATCTATATCTTCTACTACGCCAGGGAAAGTGCGACCATCGTTTAATCTAACTTGCACCATTGTGTGTGGCTTATTTATAACTACATGTGCATTGGTTAGTATAAGTCCATTAGAATCGATTATAAACCCTGAACCGTTTGACGCAGTAACTGGTTTTCCAGTATAGTAATCAAATTGACGCATATCCTTAATCTCGATATACACTACGGATGGTGCACATGCGTGCACCACGTCAGCAAGAAAATTATATTGCTTTCGTCGCCCTGAAAGCGGCGGAGATGTGAAAGCAGATATATGTGGCATAATACAATCCTTTTGGTTATAAACTAGGGAGGCTGATAATGCTGAGACAGCTGCTATCGATAGAAATTTGCATCTCCATATCTTGCTCCTACTGCTGTCTGATTGCTTCCTGCTTTTATCTTCATATTTTTTATATTGTTGGCCAATATGTAATTGCTTGCAGGCATTCAATACACACCGCAAGTTTGAAAATTTTAGTAAAGCATTTAATTTTTTAAAATTATTAAACGCCATCACTTATATGCAAAAATCACCTGTGTACAGTTTTGCACAAATCAGCTGGGGGCCCACTGCTCTTCTTCTTCCTTCCTTTTTACAGTCACCATAAGTATTAGAAAATAAGTTTGTTTCTTAACCGCTTACTATCACTAGCTAGCATAGCTTTTGCTGGAAAACACCCAAAAAACTAACAGAAGAGAGCACAAGCTGAGAGAGCTTGTGAAAATAAAAATTCAATTGATTAATTGTCAAGTATTGATTTTAAAAGATTGTGAAAACAATATTTTGATATTTTCTTGCTAGTTTCTTCTAGTTTTCCGCTCCTTTACATTATTTTGTTGTTTTTTCCTTTGTGAAAGTAACTTGCAATCTTCTAATTCCTGTTAGCTAGCAGCTACTAGCAGCTAAGATACAAAGCTAATAGTGAATTATTCTAATTAATCTAGACCAGCCGTTTTCAACGCGTGGGACGCGATGCCACGGAGGTCGCAAAGCATTTGTTAGTTGCAAGAAGTTGGGAAAATTACTTAAAAACAAACAGCAAGTTAAAAACAATTTATAAAAATCACTACAAACCATTACTATTTGTATCCAATTAACAGAAACTAAAATAATGAGATCTCTTTCATATTATACAATTTAATAAGATTTAAAAAAAAACATGAACCAACGAGTTTACTCCTAAAGGGAAAGTTGTGCTTGTTTTGCGTTGACCAATTTCTCCCAGCGGGGCTAGCTTGAGAAGTTTTAAAATTCAAACCATTTCTTTCCTTACTTTTAATTTGGGCCATGAAAATAAATGTTAGCTCGCACACGTATGAAGTGGCAAGTGGAATTAAACACTTCAAAGCCTCTGTGGTTAACTCTGGGTATTCTGATTTCCTTCTTAACCAAAAAGTATCCAAATCAGCAGACTTAAACTCTAGCTGCACCCACCTTTGACCAGTGTTCTTTGATATTTCTTGAACTAAGCAGTAAAGACACAGTTCGTCTTTCAAATTTTTCAACACTATTTTCATACCAGGCATAAATTTTTTGATGTTTATCTCACATCCGACATCTTCAATAAAAGACTGTGTCGAAGAAAATGTATCGAAGTTGCTTTGATTTAGAGACGATAGCCACAAGTCAATTTTGTTTTGTAAAACCATGAACTTTGTCTTTAGCTGTCATGACATTTTCATTCCGTCCTTGAAGACTTTTGTTCAAGATAACACAACATGCGTTTGGCATCTATTCTTTCAGTCTAGCAATAAATCCACTGTTTGCACCAGTCACGGCTTTTGCTCCATCAATACAAATAGCAATGCATTTATTTTCCCAATCTATATTCATATTTTTAGTAGCTTCAAGGAACATGTTATGCAAGCACTGGCCTGTAGTAGCAGCGCTTTATAAAACAGTATTTCTTTATTGGAGCCATATCGCTTGTCCTGCGTTGGATGGTCTTGTTAGAGAGAGGTATACTTTTAAGTTTATTTACCTCTTGTTTGCCAAACATAATTTCTACCATATCTAAAACTGCTGGTAAAATCAAATTTCCGGCAATAGTATAAGGTTTTCCAGCTTTAGCCACACGAAGCGCTACTCGATAACTAGCCGGAAACGCTTTCTCATTTACGTTGGACATTTGTGCTATGGCAGATTTTTGATGTTGAAGCAGAGAACTTGGTTCTTCTAAGTTCTCTGGGTGAACAAAACTATTATACTCTGTAGCAACAGGTTGCGAGAGTATAAAAAGGAAAATGCAATAAAAGTGAATAGAAAAAAGTGCTTCTGCAACAACATTCGGCAATTGGTTAAAACGGCAGGTACAGTTTTTATTACAAAATGCGGTAAATCAAATTAAAAATTATTTTAAAACTCCCGCTAAATTGCTGTTCTGCACATTTTTTTTAAAGTTCCGCTAGTGCCGTTAAAAATAAAAAAGTGTCGAAACAAAGGTACGAGACCGTTTTAAAAATAAAAATAGTTCCCAAAATTGCCGTTCGGTCAAAAAAAAAACCATAACAACGTTAGTTATTTTTCTCGTACGGTTGCGTCAACGCCAATATTGTCACCGCTGCTGCGTCAACATCACCACCGGCCGGCTGCTGCTAACGTCGACGCTTCGTGGGAATGAGCTGCAACTGCTAACTAAAAGGGAAGTGAACGCAGGCAAATCGCCTACGCATTCACAACAGGTAACGAATGCGAATTACTAAAAGTGGTGAGAACAAAAAAAAAGGTAAATAAGAAAATTGTAATAAAACAAAAGCAAGTGCACACTTTCAGTTTTTGGCTCTCCCTTTTTTTCACTACTTTTTATTATCATTTATACACATATTATATACATATCACGTCATGTTTTAATGAGTTTTTCGAAAAAATGTCCGATGTTGGGTTAAAACGTTAAATACAGAACTTTCTACTATAACATGGCCTAATTATAATGGTGATATTGAATTGAGTGTCTCTAATTTTAATAACATTATTACGAAATTATTTGAAAAGTATGTTACAAAAGTAATTGTTAATAAAAGTAAAGATATAAGTCCGTGGTTTTCGAAGAATTATATAAATTGAAAACAGAAAACTCGAGCCTTTAAACATTTTAAAAACCGGTTCACTTGTCGACTTCTAAATTTTCTGTATTGCGTCGACAATATTTTGACCTAAACAAAATAAACAAAATTATAATAATTACTTAAATAAAGAAAAGAATATTGTAAGTAACCAAAATCGTTTTATATTTTCGCCAACTCCAAACGCATGATTTCAAACTTACGTCCGCGATGTAATACAAATCCATCATTTCAACTGACTATGTTATTATATCCAATATGTTTGCAGAATTTTTCAGTCAAACTACTGTAATAATTCTTCAAAACTTTTCTTATCAGCACGTGCTGTGTTCGAATACTTTAATTAACGCCAATTACAATATTTCTGAAAAAGACTCCTAGTTAATTTAAATAAGTTAAACCATCTTTTAGTTACGGCTCAGACATGATACCCTCATGCTTTCTAAAAATAGTCCAAATATATTTACTTGCCTTTGAGGATATTTAATTCCTCTTATACACGGAATACTTACTTCAATATGGTAACAGTCATTTTAATTCCTTTGCAAGAAGTGGATTAGATCAACATTGAAAACTATATAGGTGTCGCAAAACTATCAGTTATACCTAAACTTTTGAAGCTATCATCACTGACCATATAACCTTGATTTCTCCGTTGATTTTCTCATCTCACATGGATTTCGGGAAATTCGACTATAACAAACTTTACAGACACAACACAGACTTTAGCAAAGCTTTCGATAATGTATGAATCAGAGATTCTTGATCTGTTGGCTTTCAGCCAAGATTTCTTCAGGGTATCTTTATATAGAACACAACAGTGATATTTGAGGATACACCTTCAGATACATTAATGTTTCTTCGCTGTTCCGCAAGGTAGTCATCTGGCCCGATTCTGTTCTTGTTGTTTATTAACGATATCTCTTCAGTAATAGAATTCTCAAAATTGTATTATACGCTGACGACGTAAAGCTTTTAACACTTCAACTAAGGAAAGGTGCCATTGCTTAAACAATTTGGTTGCATGGTGTGATAGAAATGATTTGCCATTGAATCCCAATAAATGTAAGACGATGCGCTTTTCCGCGTAGATCTGTGCACCCTCTTCTTATGTAATAAACACCATATTCTGGAGCAAGTTTTTAACTATGTTGATTTGGGAGTTAATATGGACCTAAGTTAATTTTAGTCTTCATATTGATACCATAGTCTTGAAAGCAAAGCTGTCCTCAGTTTTGTTAAACGTTAGTCTAAAGAATTTGAGACCCATATATTACTAAAACACTTTATACAACTTTGGTTAGACCTATATTGGAATATGGCTCTGTTGTATGGAACCCAGCTACCAAATCCATTCTACAAGTTAGAGTCTGTTCAAAAACAATTTTACTTTTCGCCTTAGCGCATTTCCAATGGGATTCTGGGTTCTACCTCCATACACTAGTCGTTTAAAACTTATTAATCTACCTACACTCTAGTCGTAGGAAATGCTTGGCATAATATTCTTAGTGAAAATCTTAAATGGAACAGTTTGCAGTTTTTTCTCCTGTCTAATTAAATTTAATATCCGGTTCGATTTTCGAGGGCAGTTTAGACCCTTGCTGTTAAAATCCTGTAGATCAAATTTTGAACTAAACGAACCATTCCTAAGCACTGATTTATAATTATATAAGCGAAATTTTATAATTACACCACAAAATTAAATCCATAAATAAAAAATTTTACAATTCGGCTAGTGGTAATTTTTCCAGTTATCTAAAATTATTAAATTAAAAATTTTCTGCTTTAAAAAAATTTTATTGTGCTATGTTCATTTGTGCATATCTTTCGTTTTATAATTGGGAATCGAGTATTTTATACTCCGCACCTGTTGCTACAGAGTATAATAGTTTTGTTCACCTAACGGTTGTTTGTATCACCTAAACTAATCGAGTTAGAATATAGGTTATATATATATAAATGATCAGGATGAAGAGACGAGTTGAAATCCGGGTACTGTCCGTCCGTCCGTCCGTGCAAGCTCTAACTTGAGTAAAATTGAGATATCTTTATGAAACTTGGTAGACATGTTTCTTGGTACCGTGAGACGGTTGGTATTGCAGATGGCGTAATCGGACCACTGCCACGCCCACAAAACGCCATTAATCAAAACAAATAACTAAGCTCCGCAATAAGATACAAGACTGTTATTTGGTCACAGGATCACATTAGGGAGGGCATCTGCAGTTAAAACTTTTTAAAAAGTGGCGTGGTCCCGCCTCTAATAGGTTTAATGTGCATAACAAAATTCACTAGAAGCAAATGTTTTTAGCACTTCTATTGACGGTGTGAAAATAGTTGAAATCGGTGGCAACTCTGCCCACTACCCATATAACGGTACTGTTAAAAACTACTAAAAGCGCAATAAATCAAGCACTAAACACGCCAGAGACAATTTTATCTCTGGGATGGTATGAGATGACTTTAAAGTAATCGCGTTCAAATTAGACAGTGTGAGTGGAACGCCCACCTTTAGGTGAAACCCACTTGGGATCTACTTAACTGATTTACATAAATGAAAATTCGGTACATAAAATTTTCTCATATTTCTATGTTGTAGTGCAAAATCGGCGAAATCGGATTACAACACGCCTATTTCCCATATAACACATTTCAATTCCA